AAGCTTCCAAATTATCTTGTGGTTCCGTCACATCCGACGAAAGTGAAGGACAGAAGATCTTGAATGTATAAAGGAAATAGTATAGTATACCAAATACAAAATAAAATCAGACAAATAATAGAAAGATATGGGAAGGTTTTTCTTTCGAAATAGATCCCCAGGCATGTTCAAGGTTATATTGATGATTTTAAGTGAAGCAGATGAACGAAAGGCCAGAGAGATCAAAGATCAAATGCAGAACCACACAGAATATTAATTTTAATTTAATGTGGGCATCAAACAATAATAAATTCATCCATTAATGAGTGCTGAAAGATGTGGTTGCAAATTCTAAATCTCGGCAGACATCTAGCTGAATGTGATGCTAGAAGGCATAAATGAAAAATCCAGGAATAATCTACCCTAGAAATCTTCGCCTTCTTTAGACTTTATTGTAAATTAAGAATTTTAAGTAAATAAACCATATTTTTTGAATACCTGTATTAAGAAGGATTTGAAAATACTCTCATAAGCCTTTAGTAAAGTTTGAAAGGTAAAGGAACTGCATGAAGAAAATACGGCAGTTTAGGTAATGTCATAACAAAGTAGTTGAGAGCTATCAAAGAATATAGACATGGTTTAGGCCCATGTACAACGTACACCGCGGTGCCGGACACGAGAACCGGACAAAACCTTAAGCGCGGCAGAAGGGGGCGCACTGGGCGATTTTCCGACACTGGTGGGACCCCTGTTTTCAAATTTCCCACCACTTTTACATCCACCTCTTTTTACTGATTCGCTCTTTGTCGCCAACGCTGAATTCGAGTTATCATATCCATTCGTCCTGAGCTGTTTAAAGGGTGACCTCTCAGTGGAAGACTGGTAAAAAAGAGATAGTTCAGCCAGCTCCGGAGTCAGACAGGCCAGAGGAGTGCGCGACTTCTTACCACCTGACTCCACCCCTCGACAACTAGAAGCTAGAGGAAAGTCAGATAGGGAAGGTCGGACCTGAGACCCAGCAGACCTGTTAGCCGCAGAACCCTCTGGCTCCGATGCGCCAGTGGAGGGCGTACTAGGGGTGTCTCTAGATCCTTGAGAGGTGGAGGTTGTTTCTGAAGCCATAGCCAGTTCCTTAGAAGACCAAGCAGAAGCGCGAGAATTGATATGGCCTAGGATAAATATATGGGGAAACAATATGAATCAATTAGACATAAATGTAAGGCAAGTTAGTATGGGAATTAATAAATTGGTTGCAACTATCAGGAATCCGGTTGCCAGTTTGATATCTTGGAATAGAATTAAGGCTTAAATGCATTTTATTAAAAAAATTAAATAAAAGTAGTATAATTATAGATGAACCTTGACGCAACCGTCATGCCTAAG